AACGCCGCGTCCCCCGCGTTCCCGGCCGCCTCCCCCGCGGGCCCTCCCCAAGATGGCGGCGGGCGCGGAGGCGCTTGGGTATTTGTGCTCCCGCCGGAGCCGGGCTGGGAGAGCTTTGGAAACGCAGGCCTGGACCGGTTTAAAAAAACAACTGGAGGACAATCGGTGTAATGCCAGCGCACAGCCCCTTCTCCCAGCCACGCAGCCACAGTCAGCGCTGCCCAGGCTCAGCTAGAGGTGCAGGCCTTGCCCCCTTGCTCCGCTGCGTGGCGAGGTGTGATGGGGGTCCAGGCAGCTGCTTGTCCCTGCCCTGAGCTCAGGCAGCAGCCCTGACCACAAGAAGGTGTTTGTACATCCCCTTATGGGTAAATCCCCATAGTGGTTTTCCTATATGGAAGTTGAGTATTTTCTTTTAATGAGCTAACAGGATTGATTTCAATACACCTAATTCTCTGTTGGGAACTCAGGTGCCTGATTTGAGTGGTGTAAGACTTTGCAGATGTAAGCGATGGTGCAGGGACTACTACCCAGAGCAATTACCAAGGGAGATTTGTTCCACCTCTACAGCAAACAGAATGTAAATTTGTAAAGTTTTACATTAAGGTGGTCCAACAAGTGAATATTTTCTGGTTCCATGTGATTTAAAAAGAACTCAGAAAAGCAAAGACGGGAAACATTAAAGATCTTTGAAAAAAGGCAAATTGAACCTGACTTTATAGCACTTGCAATATGCTTCCTGGGCCTGATCCTGCCCTGCTTCCAGATGCCTCCCCCCGGCACTGGGCTGCCCCTGGTGCTCTGTGTTATGAGTGGCATACCAGGAGCCCACCCGTGGGTGCCTACATGGGAAGGCTGATGGGCCTTCAGGTCTGCACCCAGGACCTGTGTTCAGAGCTGATCTGACCAGTGGAGAAGCAGATGTACAAAGACTCCTTTTAACAGCCCCGCTAGCAAGGCTGCACAGTTCAAAGGCCTGAGAACATATCTGCGGGGAAGATCCAGCACCTCTGCTTGGCTGACAGCATTTGTTGCTGGCCCACAGGAAACTCCTGACCCTCTTCTTGTGCCCATCAGCTCTGCAGCTTTGGGGTTCTGCATTTTTTTAGGGGAGCATCCATGTGCCCAGCAAGGCTGATTTCTTTTTGGGTACTGTTTCCTTTCTCTGGTCAAGCATCCCCAGTCCCTCAAGGATGCAAAACCTCTCAGCTGCCACCAGGGAGAAGAGGTTTGGTCCGTAAGACTCCCTGCACTCCACTGTGCTGGGCTTGTTCCTCAGGAAAGCTCTCTGTAACTCACGGGTGCCACCATAAGGCCTTCCTTGACCCCATGAGCCACCCACACCCGCTTCTCTCTCTGTTAGCAGTTTGCCACTGCATCAGGGATCTTCCTGTTTAAATATTGAAGGAGAAGCTTTTAACAGATACATTGGCAAGACTGCTGTAATTCCAGCCAGGGGCTCCAGTGACAGGGACTGTGGCCTGATTTGAAATAAGAGGGAAGGAAGGGGTTAGCAGCAGCTGAGCGCTGCAGAGGCCAGCCTGTGTCAGGCCACGTGTGCAGTGGTGGCTGCATGGTCCGAAAAGGAGCTGTGGGGGCAGTCGGAGCCAGGCAGGGTGGGTTTCTCCCAGGGAGCCACGTGTGCAGGCAGGCTGTGACAATCCTCCTTGAGGCTTGCACCAGCCTACAGATGTTCCCCTGGAACAGCTGCAAGCCAGAGGCAAGGAAATGGGCAAGCCTCCACTTATGGGGCAACAGGCTGAAATAACCAGATGAGCTTCTAAAAAAAAAAAACCAACAACCCAGCGATTCAAAATTCAACACTACCCTCAGCCCCAAAGCAGCTGAGAGGCTGGCTGCTCCCAGTCCCTCCAGGCTCTGTGTGGGATGGGGCTTTCTCCACTCCCCGGCACAAATTCTTTCCTTTCGCTTTGCCTTGCATCAGTCCTGGAGTGTCTGAAAGGGAACTGCCTGCCCTGCAAAATATTCCTGGGGCTCAAATGCCAGCTCTGGCCAGGCTGTCCTAGCTGCCTAGGACAGCACTGAGGACCTTCCCAGGCTGGGATGAGTGAGAAGGGAGGCACCCAGCAGGGACTGCAAGGATTGCATCCTCCAGCCTGGCAGGGAAGGATGCTCAGGCCACAGTGGGGTCAGTGCCAGAGATGATGTGTATTTGCTTTGAGAAATCCCCCAGATTTAGTTCCTTAATGGTAATTAACATTCCAGCTGCTCCTTGGTAATAGCCTCTCCAGCCCATGGGAAACCCACAGACACAGTGACGCTGCAGGCGGATTTCATAACTCAGCCGGTGACTAAACAAAAAGGGAGCCCAAGAGCCAAAGCAAATGGAAATGCTGCCCTCAGCCTCTTCTCCTGCTAGGCTTTGGCCCTGGTGTAAACTGGTCCTGGCTGAGAGGGGTCAGTGGGAAGCAACTGGCCTGACCTGCAGGGGCCCCAGCTCCGAGCTTCCTGCAAGCAGGAATTTTTGGCATTCGAATGTCACTGTTTCCGTGGCTGCGTCTTGTTCCCACGAGCCACCAGATCAGTGGCCTTACTGGTGGCCTTGAAACAGAGACTGGAGGTGGAAGAGGCCAAAACTCTCCTCGGACGCTGAACCCTTGCTGTCTGTCTGGAGTGGAGCAGGGTCTGTGGCTGGGGCTCTCCAACAGTTCCAGGCCCCTCAAAATGGCATCTTTCCTCTAACAGCCCCAGCAAAGAGAAATTCAGAGTCCCAAATGCAACCATTCACAGGTAAAAAAAAAAAACCAAAATAAAACAAGCTTTTCCATTCACTTTTAAGGCTGGTTTTAGTTTCAGAAAGGCAGTTTGTGCATGCACACATGTAAAATGATGTGTCAGAAACAGGCGTAAGAAGATTAAAAAAGAAATCTCCAACACTGAAGTTAAAGCACTTAAGGAATTGGCAGAGACTTCAAGAGCCGGTTTCTGGTCCTAATGAAGTTGGTGGAAGTGCTGCCATGGACTTCAAGGGGACTATAATTTGGCTGTAACTCAGTAGGGAGCTGAAAGTGTTGATTAATAAATTGGAGACAATGCGGAGGAAAGCCGCTGCACTTCTTTCCGACAGATGTGCTGAAGAAGAGCCTGTAAGTTAAAGCACGCAGGAAAGGAACTGGTTTCCTTTGTGTTTGCAAATAGAAGACAGGCAAAAAAAAAAAGCTACCTGATACTCATGTAAAATGGTAGAACTGGTATTAATAAATACCAGTGCCTTTCTGAGCAGCCTTCTGTTTCCAGTGAGTAGGTCATACTTTTTAAAAAAATGTATTAGCAAATGCCAGACCAAGAATTCAACAAATTCCTTTTTCTCAGAAGTAATTATCCAGTGGAAAACTTTACCACTGGAGATTGTGGATTCTGCAGATTGTCCTCGGAGTTTGGTGCATGCCTTTGATTACTCATTGCTGGCTTTTTGCTCAATGATTTGTGCATGAATCTCCTCTGCTAAAACTCTGACAGAGGTTAGCATGGCCTCAGAAATCTGTTCCCAGTGGAGATACATTTTCAGGCTGAGTTTGCAAATCATTTAAGGCTGAAAAAAAAAATCCCTTTAATACCCTTTACAGCAGTTTGCAGTTGAAAAACTTCCTGTTTGTCCCTTTTTATTTTCTGAGCTTTCAAGTAACTTTGGTTACTGGTAGGCAAGATATTCAGAGATCTTCAGAGAAAAGGCTTGTGAGGGAAGTGAAATGTTTAAGGATAAGGAGTCTTAGACTTCAATGAGTGCTTTGGAGTGCGTTAGAAAATTTGCAGCCATAATTGTCTGCGATTCTTTGTGTCGCCTTCCCTACGATTTCCTTTCTTCTTTTCTTTTTGTTTGTTTATTTGCCTGTTTCATTTGACTGAAATTGTTTCCTTGCCTCCTGTTAAGTCGGAAGCTCTTCCAGAGTACACTGCCTAAACCAAACCCAACAGACCTCCTGCCACATCTCATCCCCGCAGGCTGGACGTGAAACTTGTCCCCATGGGCTGGACATGAAACCTGGTGGGATCTTCTGCACTGCATCCCTTCTCACGCGGGCGGTGAGACAGACCTGGGCGGCTCTTGCTGGAGGTTAACCCGGGCTCCCTTCCCCTGGACCGGA